TCTCTTTTAATTTGCTGTACGGCCGGCACTTGATTGGTTGTTTAAATGTTTATAAACCAATCGTAATTCTAGACGGAAAACTTCTAGTCCCTCTGTCCACAAAAGTTTAGCAAAGACCCGATTTAAGAATTTTGATCCTCCATTCACGTCCTCTTTAAATGTGCTAAAATATCTGTTGTTATAATTCCACACAGAATACCAGCGAGGGTTTTCATAAAAGAGTTATTATGGACGTTGATCTGAATTGAAATCAATGTTTTACCTGATCAATTTAATTCAAATAGTATATTTATTTCATTTCATCTTTATAATTCCGATTTTTATACAATATAATATCTACGGTTCAGACAATTATGTTCTGCACGAGTAGGGCCTTAAACCCCATTTCATTTCATTTCTGCACGCGACCTCTGTCAGTGTAAGATCTGTTTACAGGCCCTGGCAAGATTAAAAATGTTGTGTTTTCATTTGATGTTTATAATATACGACATAACGATAACGGTTGTTATATGTTAAGCAAAACAGGAACCTGTACAATATTAAATACAGAATGAAAGAAAAATAAGAAACCGAATGGGAAAATGTCAGATTTTGATGTTAAAGGATGATATTATTTGTATTATTATTATTATTATTATTATTATTTGTATTATTATTATTATTATAAAATTTTATTGGCATCATTTATATGATTAACATAGTATTTATACCATTTGTATTATAAATATATTTTTCTTTTCTGTTTATTTTGCAAGAACTCACAGAAACCCAATGCACGATTCAATGGGACCTTCAAAATGTTAAATTAGGACCCCTTGACGATTTTCATTGTTATTATATATTCTATGGGTTGAGAGAGTCGTATCTGGATAGCAAACGCACCTGCGAATATCTGAGAACCAATCTTATTTTCCTGGAAACCACGAAAGAGGAAACCTGGTTGAGCAGCGAACTGCAACTGAGAACCCTAACGCCACGCTTCTGGCTGGGTATTCAAGAAAATGACACCGGCCAGTGGAACTGGGAATATGGTCATAAAAGATATCCTGAATCCAATCCACGTCTGCAATTACCATTGAATAACCCAAATGTGATTTATAACGATAATAAATGGGAGACTATGACCCAAAACAACCTAGAACCATTCGTTTGTGAAGAAGATTTATTTCCAAGTAAGATCATATAATTATAAGTACTTATACACACTTTAATGATCTTTTCTACATCGCTTTAAGGTGTCGGCTTTCATCCTCTAGCAATTACAGCTGTCTAGTCGTTCGGGTGGGACGAAAAACCGAGGTCCCGTGAACACATTGACGTTGGAATTCGATGTAAGAGTAAGTCGTAGTGCCGCTGCCCGGGCAAAATTGCCACTCATAGTACACTGTCCGTCTCCATTAGCCCGGTCAGGAGCAGAACAGTAGGGCGTTAAACCCCATTTCATTTTATTTCATTTCTAGATTTTGGGCGTTATGTGTTTTGGTCGTTTTTACTTTTGGCCGTTATGTCTATAACCCGCGGACACTGGGGTGAACGTAAACGAATCCTTGTCCGGGCAAAATTCTTATTTGAATTCTTATTTCTTACTTGATATGTAAAATAGTCCAAAAATGGCCGAATTATTGTTTGCATGAGTGTTTGTCAATCCTTGTGCGAGCTAATTAGTGTAATTCAAATACAGTAGTCTTTCTTTAAATTTCAGAACTTATTTCTGAATTAATCTGCTTTCATCATCTGGATTCCTACCATGCGGTATATAATCCCAGTAATCAACACTGCTATTACATTTATAATGAAGTGAAAAACTTCGATGATGCCAGAATGCAGTGTGAGAGCAAGGGTAGCAATTTGATATTTCTCGAGGATGAAGCGGAGCAGAATTTTATAGAAGATGAAACATATTGTATCCTTAGTACAAACACCTGACTAATGGTGGCATATGATTTACTCTATTTATTATGCTTTATTGTAATTAATAGATATATTCTGTAATTTTAATCTTCAATATTGGAACCATTGTGGCTTGGTGAGTATGTCGCTGGCCCACTCTGAAAATCTCGGGCTCCATCCAGTTGTAGGCCGAGAAAGTCCCTCAGTATTGTCTAGTCTGGTGTCTTCTTTTTAGTTGTGTACGATGTACGACCTCGCATTATATAAGCGTCTAGTGGTTCCGATGGTACAAAAACAAAACAGATGGTACTGTGTATAAATCGTTAGTGCAGTAAGCGAATCCTTGCCATTTTGAATTCGAAATACGTAGACCTAATGCAAAAGTTCCCTCGTAACACACCGCATAGGGTATTGCCCGTCTTCATTAGAATAGTTGTTGCACAAAACTGGGATATTGAACCCTTATTTCATTTTTAAAAAAAATAAATTAGGAAATACAAACTGGTCATGTTAGTCTTACAAGCCATATATATGTTACCGCGTTGGATAACTTGTTACAGCAATGTGCATCAGTACGCTTAAAGGTCAAGTATACATGTATATTCTTTTTGTCAAAATCCTCAAAACAAAAAGTAATATTTATTTGAAAAGTTTGTTCAGAAATAAAATGAAATGAAATGGGGTTTAACGTCCTACTGTTCTGCTCCGACTGGGCTAATGAAGACGGGCATACGCCATAAAGCATGCAATCTGAATAAAATACAGATCCGTATTTCGTTTCGTTTTTTATACTTTCGATGGCCTACACTACATTATGATCTGACAAGTTATAGCGATAGGTCACGTCAGGGGTCAAAAGACCGACTTATGACCCTATGATGTCAGACATTTGATTAACCAATCAGCATTGATGTTACTAGTGGATTACCCACAGTTCCGTGCAAAACACGCCTAAAGCTCGCCGTGACAGACCGTTTCATTGGCTTATCCCTGACACCATTCAGAACGCGAGTTAAATAACAACTCTTCCATATCCAAGTGTAGTAAAGACAAGTAAAACGAAATTTTGAACTATAAAAACGAAACGAAACAGGATCTGTGTTTTAACCAGATTGTACAGTGTGCTATAAGGGAAATTTTTCCCGGGCAGCGGCACTATGGCCTACTCTTGTATCGAATTCCAACTGCCAAGGGATCTTTTACGTACATGCCAATGTATACACAGAGTTTGTTCAGTCGTTGGTTTTGGCAGACAACCAAAATTCTCGGATTATAGTAGAGAAAACGATCAATTCGAATGGGAATATCTATACGACGACCGTGCCGTACCACTGAACTGATGGAATATCAATATGGCAGTCGTGCCGTACTATTAAACTGACGGGAATATCAACCCGATGTCCGTACTGTACCACCGAAGGGATGGGAATATAAATACGATAGACGCACCTACCATCGATCGGGTGTTAATATCTATACGACAGCCTTACCGTACTGTCAAACGCAGTGGCCCTCAATCTTTTTTCCCAACGACACACGAAACACGCGAAAAAATAGCGGCACATCTGGCTAAATTGAAAAGTATTTGAATTTTGCAAAATAAAAACGGAATACAACCGTAGACAGAGACTAGTCATAGACACAAGAATGACTCAAACTAAAGAAAGAAAAATACAGCTATGAACTTATCAGTCGACACCAATGAATACTCATTTGGGATCACGTGGTTCAAAATTTCGCGACACACTTAGGAAGATCTCGTTGAGAATCACTAATTTAACGAATGGGAATAGCCATAGGGCAGCCATGTCATACCATAGAACGAATGGGAATACCAATTCCGGCACCGTACAGTACTTTTGAACAGACGAAAATATCAATAAGACGGCCGCAACGTACCATCGAACGGATGGGCATAGCAATAAGACAGCCGTATCGTAACATTGAATGGATACAATTCGTTAACAATATATAGATATGGATGAATCTGATGGCACACATCCATACGGATTGTGGCTTGGAATGAAGAAGGGGAAAAATGGCGAATGGCGTTGGATTGGGCCAGATTTTACAAAGGCAGTTGACGAAGAACGATGGATGGACCCAAGAAAGAGTCGTAAATATGCAATTGGTGTTGAAGACGGTTTGTGGTCTCAGGAAACAAAGGATAGCCTGCAAAGTTGTGTATGTGAAGAAGTCGTTGATACAGGTAGGCATATTCATATGGGTACGTATCTTTATGTCCTTGTATTTTCAAGGCCAGAAGCCCCCGACCCAACAATTCAAGTGACACAATGTATCTACGCGGGTCAAATTCAAGTAACTAAACGAAATATTTACTAAATATCTGAGAAGGGCAAGTAGGATGTTTGCCGGTAAGTTTTTAATGGCCCGGGGGTAAATGGACGGGGGTGGGGATGGGGCGATCGATTAATAGTGCAGAGCTTTCGGAATTGACCTAATTGCAATGTCAAACCCGAACACAGATGCAGAATCATGACGTAATCATGAAATTCTCGTCTTTACTCTCTCCGAGGTATTGAGAGAATTCATTTCCGGAACTTTCAATTTCATGTATTCTAAAACGTTTGTCAAATTTGTAAAGAACCCAAACCCGTTTCTTCCAATACATTCTACCTACATCCACATCTCACCTAATTTTCTGTTACTATATACAAGTATAGTGTATCCCCATCTGGAGCCGTGGTAACACACTGGCGGGCTTACCAGGAGATCTTAGATTCGCTCGGGGTTTTCCCACGTAAGTGGTGCGGGACGGGGGGGGGGGAGGGTCTGGCAAGGACGGTGCAAAGTCGTTCGTATGGGACAAAAAGCCGGCGTGCACGTAAAAGAACCACTGGAATGTTGAAATTCGAAATAAGAGTAGGCCGTATTGCAGCTGTTCGAACAAAGTTTCCCTTATAGGACACTGTATTAGCCCAGTCGTTGCAAAACAGTAGGGCGTTAATCTCCATTTCAATTCAGCATCCCCTCCATATGCCATTTCCCTGACCTAAAATTCATTAAAATGCCTCTTCACAATTTACAGATATGGTAGATGATCGAATATGCCACAAGTTCAGTGGAGCAGCTCTGGCCATCTTTAACTATGAAACCAGATCTTGTTATTATGTATTTGAAGATAGAAGAGACTGGACACAAACTCGAGAGACCTGTACATCAGAATCAACATACGTCGTTCAACCCAATACAGACGAAGAGAAATCATGGTTGATGACCACCCTGACTGGTACAATGATAAGTATTAAGTCCTGGACAGAATTTACACTAGAGATATTTTATCATAAAATTGGAAATTTGATCCATCTGTGCTTTTTATATTGCTGGAATTTTACAATGAGACGAAAAGAAATGTGGACATACGCAATGCTGTGAGCTAATTAGTAATATGGAATTGTTGCCTGATCAGCCAGTATTGTACGTATCGTGCCAAAAAATACACCCTAACGACTTTATATTATTTTAGAACTGTATTTGCCATCGTCGGAGTCAAATCATGGCATAATTCTACAATATATATGAAAGGCATAGGTCAAATCGCTTAAACCCTTTATCATTTTCAGATATCGGTCTGCCAGTAACGGTGTGGCTTGGTAAAATCCGAACTGCTCCAGGACAATGGTCTTGGTACCATAAGAACCACTTAGAAGTTTCGGATATGGTACCTAACGGTGGTATCGATTCTACCGACATGTCCTATGCACGGCTCACGGAAGATGGCGAGTGGCAGAAAGCTGCTTCAACAGAGATTTATGGCGTTGTTTGTGAGGATTCAGTCACCCCCAGTAAGTTCTCCGCTTCCATACAATATTACCAATATACAATCTCTAGGCTTAGCTTAGTCTTCTGGATTTCAAAATGCTACTCTGTATTTATAGATGCCATGCACGGCGCTGATCGGGTGTATATTATATTCTCGGGGAATCTAATGTCGCGGTCTTCACTTTTTTTTATAACGTTACTGAAATGTATGGATCCAACTGTTTTGTTTAATAACGTTACTGAACTGTTATAATGAAATACATAAACATTCAAGCACATATTGATAACGAAATGGGATGGAATGAGGTTTGACGCCCAACTTTTCTGCACCAACCGAGCTTATGGGGACGGGCATGCACCGTGCAATGTGCTACGGCATGCTCATATTTCAAGATTCAACTGTCAAGGGCCCGTTGAAGTGTGCAGCAATGTGTACACGGGATCCAGGTTTTTCATCCCCACCCGAACAATTGTACACTGGCCCTTGCCACTGACAAGGGGAACAAAGGTGGGAAAATCCCTGGAATATTTTCTTCGGCTAACACCGGGATCAATCCTCTAGACCGGAGGCTCAGCGCGGGGGGTGTCCATCAAATGGGGACACAATCAAACCCAACCTTTCTAGAGTAAATTTTGCGTAGAATACGATGCCGAGTGGTAATCAGTCCGCCGTTGGGGCGTTTTCGAGATATTCGGGGTCAAAGGTCAAATGAGTTCATTTGCACTGAAAGTGAATGCGCAGTCATTCTTGTATTATGAAAAGAAACTGAAAATGATCGAAAGTAATCACACTTCCAATAAAAATATAAACTTGCTAAATTCACCTTTAGTCTTAATGACCCTGGAGCTCAAAAGGTGAAATTTACCGTTTTTGCACTAGGAAGATTTAAAGCAATAAAATGTCAAAGTAAAATATAAAAAAACTAAAGCGAAACCTGTTCTAATTAAAAATAGTAACATTTAAATTTTATCTTTAGGGGGTCTTAGCACCGAACTTTTACTTTGGAACGTCGAAAATGATCTTGCATAACAGAACCAACACACTTTTAAACCTGTTTCAAAAATACGTAAAAACTGTCAAATTGAAATCTCTCCGATTTATTTTCACAGCGATTATTATACTTAAAGATTCTAGTTATCTGAAAAACAATTGAATAGTTTCAGTGTTGGACTCCAGCCTGCCGGTCGCGTGGATTTCCGAGAATCCCAGTCTAGGAAAACCGACGTTAATCTGTGACGAGAAAACACGTATCTGACGCGAGATTAAAAGTTTGCAAATTTTTTATGAGTTTTTATGAATTTCGCCCGAACATGGACGCAGATAAAACCGACAGATGCATTGTACATATTAGTTCACAGGTTGTATAATAGTCGTATTGGTAAATGTTAGCGGGGAAATTTTGGCAGGCTTTGTGACACGGCCTGCAGGCTGGAGTCCAGCCATGAAACTATTCAATTGGGTTTTTTTTCAGACAACTAGTATCATTATGTGTAGCATTCGCTGTAAAACTAATTCGGAGAGATTTTGATTTAACAGTTTTTAGGTATTTTTGAAACAGGTTCCGAAGCGTTTTGGTTCTGTTATGCAAGATCATTTTCGACGTTCCAAAGTAAAAGTTCGGTGCTAAGACCACCTAAAGATAAATTTTAAATGATCCTATTATTAATTAGAACAGGTTTCGCTTTAGTTTTTATATTTTACACTGACATTTATTACTTTAAATCTTCCTAGTGCTAAAACGGAAAATGTGACCTTTTGACCTCTGTGGTCACAAAGAACAACGGTGAATTTAGCAAAGTTTACATTTTTATTGAAAGTGTGATTACTTTCGATCAATTTCAGCTTATATACATGATACAAGAAAGACTGCACATTCATTTTCAGTGCAAATGAACCCATTTGACCTTTGACCCCGAATATCTCGAAAGCGCCCCAACGGCGGACTGATTACCACTCGGCATCGTATTCTACGCAAAATTTTACTCTAGAAAAGTTGGGTCTGGTTTTGTGCCCATTTGGTGGACCCCCCCCCCCCCCCCGCGCTGAGCCTCTAGACTACTCGGATCTCCAGGCTAGTGAGGCAGTGACACGCTCATTAAACCAGCACTTAATACAACTCGTACTCTTGTGTTTAAGGTTATTTAAAGCTGGCAAAGGTTAAGAATATTGGAGGTGATTGGATATATGGGGAAGCGTGGATTGAGGATCCAGAAGTCACAACGACAGTTGAAAGTAGTACGGAAGGTGAAAGTAGTACTAATGCTTATAAAGAGTCCTTGACTACTGGTGATGTGACAGTAAGCAGCTTAGAACCAACGTCCCACTCAACCACAGACCCGAACACCTCAATATTTGGATATTGTGCAGATCCAAAATGGATGAACCCAGGCTCTATACTGGATATTATGTATTCGAAATTAAGCACTGTTGACGAATCAGTGGTGGAAATAATGATTCTTCAAAAAGCTTCTAATCTTAGGTGTGCCAAAACCTGTTCATTGGATGCACGGTGTATTTTGTATACAAGAGATAAATACAAGACTTGTCGTGGATTTAAGGCCGACAGGTCCAGTACCAGCAGAATTAGTTGTTCGGATGAAGTGTCTTGTTTCCTGAAAATGTGTAACGATTCTCCAACCCCGTTGTAATTTAATAAAATTTAATGTCTCCCTCTCGATCAAATCTCACAAATGATTAGATATAGACATAAACTGGCTGTGAGGCAAATGATGTAATGTTCACATGTAGATATTTATTTATTTATTTGTATACATACATGTTTAGAACATTATAAATATTCGCATGTGCAACTCATGATGCTAAAGATTTGAACATTAGTGATATTTTTATACGAGCGGGTTTTATGGGATAGTATGCTGACAAGCGCGTTTCCAGAGGGAGCGGGGGCGTGTGGGGGGATGGGGGTCCAGAGATATTTTTTATCTCCTACATTCATGGAAATAACGCCGTATTGTAATCCTATATACACCTAAAGGGGCAGAAATATTGTTTCAAAGCTTCGCGGGTAGCCTCCACCCCCACCCCAACCTAAAGCCACATTAGACGTTGTCTCCACCTTTAACTCCCCGCTGCTCAAAATTCATGGACACACCCCTGGTTTTCGTTACACCTGTTCACTGCCCTTCCGCCCATACGTATATTCACAATCATTTAAACACCCTACAAGTTAGAGATTTTGAATACGTCAACACATATTCAACAACAGCATTGTTTTCAAACCTTGAGGTTTACATGTATATTTAGCACAACTTATCGGCAGGTTGGTGGTGGTGTGATGGGCTATATACACATGTTGGCTGTATTTAAACTTTAAACGAATAGATTTAAAGTACTATAAAACAATTTATTTGGCTCGCCCCGTTTGAGACATCCAGCACCACAAACACCTCATACACCAACTGAACTATTTTGCGCGATCTTTATAAGATAGAAATAAATACGAATGAATTGAAATTCGTTTAACCTCCTACTGGGAGCGAACCCAGGCCGCCTGATTAGTAAAACAGTGTCCTCTTTTCTTAATCATGGGGTCACCGCGACTCCCGATCAGAAATAAGGACATAGGTTAAATGTCTGTCAACAAAGTGAAATTTATTTTCGACTTTGCCGTGTTTGTGTCGGCGAATATTGTAACTATACTATTCAAAAAAAGTAGGGGATATTTGATTTTTAAGTGTTATTAAAATCACCTAATGAAACTGACGAAGAAACAAATGACAAAATGAAATGAAGTTCACATTCATCGATTTATTTCAAATGATCGTTAGACTAAGTAAGGCACAGACTGACCATTATAAGGGTAAAATGATACCCGGGGTCAAACAGCAAAGTTACCACAGCATCACAACCAAGTCAGTAACGGGTAAATCCTCCTCTGTTTGCCAAACAAGCATTGATCCGACGTGGTCCAGATTGGTCCAGATTGTCCCATTCCTGTCGCAACGCAGCAGCAAGTTCTTGGACATTGGCAGGACGTTGTTGACGTTGACGTAACCTCTGTCCAAGCATGTCCCAGACATGCTCGATGGGGGAGAGGTCGGGACTCAGTGCTGGCCAAGGTAATGTGGTGATGTTCTGTTGTTGGAGGTAACCTGTAACGATCCTGGCCCTGTGACATCTTGCGTTGTCATCCTGGAAGATGAAACGGCGGCCATGACGTCGTGCGAACGGCACAACATGGACTGCCAAGATGTTGTCCCGGTAGTACTGGCCTGTAACACGCCCTGCAACAACATGTAAAGCCGTTCTTCCAGCAACAGTGATGCCTCCCCACACGATAACAGAACCACCCCCAAATCGATCATGTCTGATGACGTTAACTTCTTGGAAGCGCTCGTTTCGACGACAGCACACCCTCCTACGTCTGTCCAAAAAATCAACAGCGAACCTTGACTCATCTGAAAACATCACATTGCTCCAGCGTCGATTATCCCAGTGTTGACGATCCCTACACCAACGACGTCTTGCCTGAATGTGATGATCTCTCAAACAAGGGATCACGCGAGGACGTCGGGCGCGAAGGTGACCCCTATGCAGTCGATTCCGAATCGTCTGGCCACTCACTCTCACACCAGTGTCTGTTTGATGACGAGCGCTGATCTGATTTGGTGTGATGACACGATTTCTCAAGGCCAAGGTACGGATAAATCGATCCTGGGCTTGAGTTGTCGCCCTTGGTCGACCTGAGCGTGGTCTGTCCTGTACAGATTGTGTATCACGGTATCTGGACCATAGCCTGCTTATGACAGACTGAGAAACATTCATCGTCCGCGCCACAACCGCCTGTGTTGTGCCGATCTGTAGCATGCCAAGGGCACGTACCCTTTCATATCAAAATTTGTTTTCTGGTCACTAAAACAATTAAACTGATGTTTCCACCCTGGAATTCAATGCCACAATGACTGTAACATTCAAAGTCAGAGTCGTGCAAATCTTGGGTTGGACCCCCATGATGATCCCAAGCATCACCTGCATTCCATGCGGTAGCTATTGGTGCGTTTGGGCGTCACATGTAACTGGAAATGTTTCTTCTGTTAGGTTCTATAGTGACTTTTTTCGTAGTCATTTGCATATTTTAGTATTATGCCCCCAAAATCAAATATCCCCTACTTTTTTTGAATAGTATATATGGGATATATATGGGATAATTTTCTCCACAAATAAAGGCTACTCCAAATTGAAACTGACAAGAAATTAAATTTTTCAGAAAGTGTCATACGTTATGTAACTGTGGGTTAAAATTAATATCGCCGATTTTGTAATGCTAGGTTCCCACTACCAAGATTCCAACCTCGTGGGTTTTCTCCGGGTCCTCCGGTTCCCCCCACTGCTAAAGACCCCTACGGGCTAGCGAATTATAGAAATAAAATTAAACCATATGTTTGTCCCGAAATGACCTAGTTTGTGTCGAGTGGACGTTAACCCCCATTTCTCTCTCTCCCTCACTACCAAGAATCGTGCTACGATTGGAATCGTAATTTTAATCGTGGAGTAATCGTGGTGATCCTTTTAGATCTTATCATATACTAAGGTTAGTCGTAGCAATAGCGCTGATCGTATCGAAACGAGGGGGGTTGGATGGCTGAATGGTTAGCGTGCGCGCACTGTATCATAAAGTCTGTCATTGAGTCGACTGGCGTGGTTTCGAATCCCCGGTTTTACGTGACAAGGAGTAGCGTCGCCTGTCCAACCTCGTGGGTTTTCTCCGTGTCCTCCGATTTCCTCCAACTGCTAAAGAAACCTATGCGCAAGCGAATTATTGAAATAAAATTAAACCATATGTTAGTCCCGAAATGACCTAGTTTGTGTCGAGTGGACGTTAAACCCCATTTCTCTCTCTGTCTCTCTGTCTCCCTCTCTCCGTATCGAAACTTATCCGAACGTATCTGCGCGTACCAGATCGTGGACTCAAGAAGGACAGTCGTATCGTGCGCCAGCGAGAACCTAGCATTAGATTCTGTGTGTTTATTTGTTTTGTTGTCTGACAATTTGTTGAACATTTGACGTCAGTGTTGGGATATAACACATCAGATTAACCCAGTTCAATAATTTATTTTGATCTAACGCTTTCATCATTTGCTTGAAAACGTTGAGAGAACCCTCAAAGAAACATCGCTTTAAGTAAAATAGTAATTGTGTTCCAAATTATGTTTTGTGTTTATTACGTATGTCAGTTTGCTAAATGCCGCTCAAAGAAGATAACTTAAACAGGTTTACCGCTTTTAACACCCAGACACTTTGCTTTTAAGATCCCCTTGATCCGTTTGATTACAAAGTGCCCCGGGCGCTAGACATACGCTTTTATGAAACTATGGTACAAAGGGGTTGCCCTATCTTTGATTTTAAAGTCAACTCAACGTCTATTGGAAATGAAATGGGGTTTAACGTCCTGCTGTTCTGTTCCGTACTGGGCTAATGAAGACGGGCATACGCCATACAGTGTGCTATGGGGGAAATTTTGCCCGGACAGCGGCACTACAGCCTACTCTTATTTCGAATTCCAACTGTCAAGGGATATTTTACGTGCACATCAATATGTACACGGGACCTCGGTTTTTCTTTACACCCGAACGACTACACAGCTGTCCTTTTCAGGCCCTCCATCCTGCATCACTGACAAGGGGGAATCACGTCTGAACCCGACCTTCATGCTAGCGAGCCAGCGTCTTACGCACTTGGCAACCATGACCCCCATTGCTATGGGTTACGATAAGTTGTGCCTAACTGTTTTCCTGTTATTCTCTATAAACAGTGAACACTATCATTGAAATAATCACGGAATTAGAAACTGAAAGTCCTACATCGCCTGCGTTAAATAGTAACTAAGTATTGAGTTTATACTATCGATTAACATACATGTATATACATAAACCACAGATTTACTAGAGACTTGAAGCAAACGGGGTTTATACTCGCTAACTGGCCAGGGATATCTTGAGTTTATACCTAGATGATATTGTGTAAACGATCTATAGACGTTTGTTTCTAGTTTGTGTCTGAATGAGGATATTATTAGAGATATTCTCATGGCAAAAGTTATTTCTCATTTATACGTTGAGAATTTGGATATTTAAGTAACCTGGAGGAAATATTAACAGGTTTTGTTTTACATATTGAAAAGAAAAAATATCTTAATTTTGTTATTGAGGGATATTTCATCATGAAGATATATATTTATTTGCTTGGATGTTTTCTATGTTCTACACTAGCTCTAGATGGTAAGTCTCCTATTATGTTCTACTGCACTAGCTCTATATGGTAAGTTTTCCTGTATACTACATTATCTCTCGATGGTAAGTTTTCCTGTATTCTGCATTACCTCTCGATGGTAAGTTTGCCATGTTCTACACTATCTCTAGGTAGTAAGTTTCTATATTCTACTTTAGCTATATATTTGAAGTTTTCTCTATTCTACATTAGCTCTAGATGGTAAGTTTTCTATGTTCTACATTATCTCCCGATGGTAAGTTTCTGGGTGTTAGGTTTACGTTTTATATGTTCCACATTAGTTTTGGATGCTAAGTTTTCTATGTTCTACATTAGCAGCACATGGTAAGTTTTCTATGCTCTACTTTAACCGCAGACGATAAGTGTTCCTGTATTCTACATTAGCTCTAGACGGTAAGTTTTCTTTGTTCTGCATTAGCTCTGGATGGTAAGTTTTATATGTTCTACATTATCCCTAGATGGTAAGTTTTCTATGTTCTACATTAACTCTGGATGGTAAGTTTTATATGTTCTACATTATCCCTGTAAGTTTTCTATGTTCTACATTAACTCTGGATGGTAAGTTTTATATGTTCTACATTATCCCTGTAAGTTTTCTATGTTCTGCATTAGCTCTGGATGGTAAGTTTTATATGTTCTACATTATCCCTAGATGGTAAGTTTTCTATGTTCTACATTATCTCTGGGTGGTAAGTTTACCTGTATTCTACCATAGCTGTAGATCTTTTCTATATTATCTCTGGATGGTAAGTTTTCTATGTCCTACATTTATAGCTCTAGATGGTAAGATTTCTAAATTCTACATTAGCTTTAGATGGTACGTTTTCCTGTATTTTACATTAGCTCTAGATGGTAAGTTCAATCAACACACACTTTTGTTGGTAACTTGATCAAAATAATAAAATATGGGGGGGGGGGTAGTATAGTGTTGATAAGAAAGTAAAATACCTGATTTTTTGTTGCGTTGTTTTATATACAGTCAAGAAGTCCAATGCTACAGGCCTCCACCCATGATGGAATTTTTGTCGCCGAGATCTATATTTTGTCGTGGTTTTTTTTTTCTGAACCGACACTTCGTCGACGGTGGTATGCTGTGCAGAGAAAGAGAGAGTGATCTGTGGGGCATTTCTGGACTAACAAATATTTCAAAAATTCGCTTCCGCGTAGGGGTTTTTAGCAGTGAGAGGAAACCGAAGGACCCGAAGAAAATCCACGAGGTTGGACAGGCGACCCCACGCCTTGTCACGTACACTTTAACAAAAAATCCGTGAAAAAACGTAAAAAATTCCGGAAACAAAAATTACGAGGAAAATTTTATCCGTATTTGTTTTTCCTGTAATTTACAGAAATTCCTTCAAATAACATAAATTCCATTTTCAAATACAGGAAAATAAATCCTGGTAATTATTGTTTCTGTGCATGAAAGTGATAAAAATTTCATTGAATTAACCATTGAGTTTATACGCGAGTGTGAAATAGCTTCATTTAAAATACAGATGTGGCGTCACCCTTTGATGTTGGCGTACCATTATTTCAAATAATCGTACGGGCAACATGGTAATTGTTAGAAATAAACTCCCTTCAGCTGTGAAGAGTGACTGGTTAATTACGTCTACTGGCGTATTAATACAAGCATGCAATAATAAAAATGTAGTTCAAAATAAAGCCCGTGAGATGCACTACAGAGTTCGTACCATCAACATCGTTTTTGTTCTTTTTTTTCACCCATCGTAACTCGAAGCCATGAGTCTGCTATTTATGGGCCCAGCCTGAGAATCCATTTCGTGATTTCTCATACATCGTTCGCAACATAAATCTGGTAGCAGAGCGTGGTTTTACTGTGTGGAAAATATGAAATCTGAATGATAATATGGTACAACTGAACTCCATGGTTGCTGTTTACATCGAGCTCCACGTGCATGACCACCAAATCGCCAGAATGTCATCCAAGGACAGTCATCTTCCTAGACCAGGTTTGATAATTATTTAATTTTTTATCAAGTTTTCAACAATCAATAGAATGTCTGAACGTGATGGATCAGGTATCATCGATGCAGAAATACACGATCGTGACCAACAGGAAACTCCAGCTGATCGTAAGTCAGAAGTATTAAAACAACAACGTTTGCTGAAAACTTTTTTCACTAAAGCTAAGTCTTATTTAACTAGTTTACTATGTTCAGAAACCGCGAACTTAGAACAATTGAAAAGTGGTGTTGACCAGGTCTTGAAAACACAAGAAGATGTTATCAATGTTTTGTTGTCGCTATGCGAGCTTGATCCAGATAGGTACGGTGATGAACTGGATGCGATACAAGATGATCCAAGATTTACAGAAACTGTATCTAGTACATTAGCTCTGATCAAGTCAAAATCGAGTGAGATAGACACAACGCGTCAATCATCGTCGAATAATCCGTCGCCTAGAGAAAATGTAGAATTCCCTCAGAATAGTTCTGTGACTGAAAACGAGCAGCCCATCCCAGATAATATTCAACAGAGTCAAAATAATTCTATAACTGCTCGATCCCGTGAGCCGTATTCGATAGATAGCGATATGCATAATCAGTTGAAACGCGTTTCTATTCCAAGATTTGGTGGCAATAAAAGAGACTATCCACTTTTTAAGGACGCGTTTGAACATTGCATCGATAGGGTTGCGTGTAGTGATGGTTACAAAATGCTTCAGCTTAGACAGTACCTACAGGGTGATGCTTTAAGGGCTATTGAAGGTTTTTCAGCGTCGTCTTTGGGTTACGCGTCCGCTAAGAAAAGACTCGGAAGAAAAATACGGTGGTCATCGTCGTACTGTTCTGCTACATTTAGACTATATTCGCCAAACTCGCCAATTCGAAGAAAACTCAATGTTTTATTCTGTTGCGAAGTCAAAATTGTCGCCAATGAACATCGCAAACTTTAAGCGTTGGGTCTCTATAGAAAAGAAAACTGAAAGTCTTGTTAATCTTCACGCATGGTTGGCTTTAGAGGTTAAGTTTAGGATTGAAGCCCTTGAAGAGGTTGACGGTTTCTACGCCCCTAAGACCAGTCTCAATCAAGGTGGTACCGGTAACGCTTACAAAAAGAATCGCGCATATACAACTAACAGCCGGCCGAAATGCGACTTGTGTACTAACAATCACCGACTCTTCGATTGTCCAGACTTTCGATCGCTTTCTGTTGACCGGAGATGGCAAGTTGCAAAGGATAAGTCTTTATGTTTTCGATGTCTAAGTCCAAGTCAAGAAGGGCGCGATTGCAAGAACTCTCGTCGCTGTGGAATAGACAATTGTCCCCGTGGAATAGACAATTGTCCCCGGTCTCATCATACTCTTTTGCACGGAGGGGGATATCCAGTTGTGCCACCGTTTCTCAATTCGGGAGCCGATCGTCGATGGCCACGAACAAATATGGCCACCTCTGGAGATCACGTGGGAATGCGCATAATCCCGGTTATTAACACCGGACATCGTACGCTCCAGCTGAACGCCTTGTTGGACGAGTGTTCAACCGACTCTTATGTTAGTGAATCTGTTGCATCGGAATTGGGACTTAAAGGGCCAGTTTCCTATTTGAATGTTTCTGTGTTGGGTGGTAAACGCGATTGTTTAAAAAGTTCTAAAGTTAGCTTCACTATCACTAGTCCTGATGGACAGACTAGTCTCAAACTTGACGCTTTTACGGTTGCAAACGTTACCGATGACTTGCAAATGATAGACTGGAATAAATATGTACATAATTGGCCCCACTTGCATGATATTGACTTTCCTCGTGTTGGTGGTAGAGTCCACGTCGATTTATTATTAGGACTTAATGTATCTGATGTACATCGCGCGCTCACCGAAATTAGTGGTAGACCTGGAGAGCCCATCGCAAGACTTACGCCGTTGGGATGGACATGTATAGGTCCCTTGTTTGAACTGGACTCGTGTAGACAATCATCGAATCACTTTGTTCGAACATTCTTTGTACAAGATGATACAAACACTTTATTGCGCAATATGTGGGAACTTGATACATCGGGAATTAGTAACGATTCCGCTGTTATTTCGTCGATCGACAAGCAAGTTGTAGAACAATCTATATCATCTTTAAAATTTACAGGTGATCGTTACGAAATTGCAATACCTTGGAAACGGAATGAACCAGTTATCTTGAATAATTACGATCTAGCGCTCTCTCGTTTGCGGAATTTAGAGCGATCTTTGGCAAACCGACCCCTTGTTTCATCACAATATAGTCGGATCATTCGCGACTATGAACAGAAGGGTTACATTAAAGAGGTATTCCCCTCGGATTATTACGAGAAAAATGTTTGGTATATTCCCCACTTCCCTGTCGTACGCCTTGATAAGACAACTACGCAAGTAAGGATTGTTTTGGACGCCGCAGCAAAGATTAACGGTAAATCTTTAAATGATTGCATACATGCTGGCCCAAAACTTCAAAGGGGATTAATAGACATCCTTGTCAGATTTAGGAGTAAATCGATCGCGATTGCAGCTGATATCGGTGAAATGTGATTTCTTTGGAGAGACACGAATCCCCATCAGTCAGTTCGAATTTATGAATATCAAAGACTCGGTTTCTGGAATGCATCGTCGCCTTATTTGTCACAACTTGTATTAAGAGAACATGCAATGTCGCATACTTCGAAATATCCAAATGGTGCTTCGTCTATTCTGGAGTCTATGTATGTAGACGATTTACTGGATAGTGCGGATTCAGTTAAAGAAGCAACCCGTCTCAGGCGTGAAGTATCGGAATTACTCGCTTTGGGAGGTTTTCACATTTGCAAATGGATATCGAATTCGGTTGATGTATTGTCCGAAATTCCAAGCAATGATCGAATCGGTAGTTTGGAGATCGCTGATCCTTCTGGTCTGGTTTTATGGGACACAGTGACTGACTGTTTTATCTTCAAAATAGATCCTATTCTCATTGACGTTTTGACAAAACGGATTGTCGTTAGTAAAACTGCAAAACTGTTCGACCCTCTTAATTTGCTAGCACCTTTTACGGTTCGCGCTAAAATAGGAATTCAAGAAACGTGGGTAAAAGGACTTAGTTGGGATGAACCCCTGCCGTTAGATCTATCAAGCCAATGGAATAACTGGTTGAGTGAACTAGCGCTTCTCGAAGGAATCAGTATTGCTAGATGTCTAGTCAGTAATAAAGAGATTATCCGCAAGACCATCCACACGTTCGTTGACGCGTCCTCCTCTGCTTATGCCGCAGCTGTTTATCTTCATTGTGAATACGCCGATCAGTCCTGTTCTTCGAACTTGGTGGCTTCTAAAACTCGCGTCGCCCCCCTAAAATCAATCACTATTCCCAAACTAGAACTATCGGGAGCAGTATTGGGTTTAAGACTCGCACAAACTATCTGTCGGGTGCTTAATGTTTCCAGTTCGGCAGTTATTTACTGGACTGATAGCCAAAATGTTCTGTTTTGGATAAAGGGAGAATCGAGGAAATACAAGCCGTTTGTGTCAAACCGTGTTGGCGAAATTCATTCTATGTCTGAACCCTCTCAGTGGCATTATGTTGACACTAAATCGAATGCTAGCGACCCAGCCACACGGGGATTATCGGCTTCCGCTTTATCGAAGTGTGACTTGTGGTGGCATGGACCTTTATTTCTTAGTCAGTCGTCGGAGAATTGGCCCCTCGCTAATGATACAAGCTCTAATCCGTCTGAAGATGCTTTATTGGAGCTTCGTTCAGCTCAGAAGTCATTCCTTGTCGCGGCTCCACCGCGCGATCTTGGTAGATTAGAGACTTCTAGATATTCAAGCTGGATTAAATTGTTGCGAATAACTAGTTGGATTTTTCGCTTCATTAAGAACATTCGTATTTCGCATCAAGATGGATGTTTTCAAGAATATTTGACAACAAACGAGTTGTCAGCCTCAAAGACTTATTGGCATAAAGTCGCGCAAAATGATTGTTTCCCAAGTGAACTACACTTTATTCGTTCAAATAAACAGGTTGACAGTCGTTCTCCTTTAGCGTCGTTAAATCCTTGTCTCGATGAAGATGGTGTATTCTGTTTGGACGGTCGTTTGAGACAAGCCGATCACATTTCGTATGAATCGAGATTTCCTGTAATACTACCACGAAACCACGATGTGACGCGATTAATTGCAACGCACATTCATGTTGAAGGAAACCACGATTTAGAAACTTCTCATTGTATCAGTAAAATTCGAGAAGAGTATTGGATTTTGCGCGTTAGACAAGTGATCAAATCCGTAGAGCATCATTGTCCTGAGTGTCGAAGGAGAAAATGTAAGCCGGCTAAGCAATTAATGGCACCGCTTCCTTTGTGTCGAATAGGTTCCCCCTCACATGCATTTTCGGAAGTTGGTGTTGATTTCGCAGGCCCTTTTGTAACAAAACAGGGACGGGGTAAAGTTAGGACGAAACGGTACTTATGTTTGTTTACATGCTTGTCGTCTAGGGCAGTTCATTTGGAAATGGCCTGGGGACTCGATAGTCATTCATTTTTGCTGGCTCTCGATCGTTTCGTTAGCAGGAGAGGAAAACCGAATTTCGTTTTGAGCGACAATGGGACTAACTTTGTGGGAGCAAATCGAGAACTTGGGAATTTGTTTAAGTTGGACAATTCAAGGATTGGAAGTGATCTCGGTACTAAGGGCATCGAGTGGAGATTTAACCCCCCGGCGGCTCCCCATTTTGGAGGCGTGTTCGAGGCTCTTATAAAGTCGGCTAAAAGAGCTATAAAGTCCGTATTAGGCGATGCGGATGCAAATGATGAAGAATTGATGACCGTTTTTATTCATGCAGAGGGATTACTAAATTCTCGGCCCCTCTGTTATCAAGGTGATGCCCCGAAGGACGAATCGGTTCTCACGCCAAATCATTTTTTTTTGGCCGAACAGGTGACCAATTAGTGTCGTCCAAATTAATCGATGGCGTTCGTTTTAATCCACGTAATCGTTGGCGCATGGTTCAAAATTTGGTTAGCTCTTTTTGGAAACGCTGGCTACGAGAGTTCTTACCCACATTAAATAATCGTTCGAAATGGCAAACCCCCTATAAGGACTTATTGGAGGGTGACTTAGTACTAGTTGTA